ATTTAATCCATACCTGATTTTTGAATTTTTAATCTATTTACCCTATTTTTGAATTGAGGTAAAGAATACACCTTAAATATGAATTTTTCTCATAAAATATTGTACATTAAAATTATTAAAACTTGTCTTTAAAATGATAATGGATTGGACTTGACTTGAATAGTTTTAAATTGATTTTACAACGATTAGATGAACACGCTTTAACTTTAAAATTTGAGGTTAAAACTTAATGACATGTTTTTCCATATAATAATTTTTATATTATTTAAAATTTCTGGGTTGCTACAAAAGTCACTATGTTGAAATGAGCGAGATAATCCCTGAGTGATTCATCTTTATGCTGCATAACTTATATCATACCAATAGCAGATTTCTTTTGTCTAGTATTGTACGCAAAGGCAAAAACGAACTTGGTGGCATGTTAAGAAAAGAGGTGATGGATTGTGAAGCTAATGTTTGATATCAATCTCTCACCCCTTTCCTGAGAGAGAGGGAAAGCTCGACAGGCGATAGATAACATTTGGCATGTCATCAAGCCTCGTAATATCCTAAAATGCACTCGTATACTCAGTAGAATAAGTGGTGCCATCGTATTTCTCGATACAAGGATTTTCATCCAGTTGATCCACATTTATCCTTGATCTTAGTCTCTCGTTATTCGACATTGCATTTTGTTCTAGTGATTTAGCACAGACAGAGCCATAGGGAAAGTCCAACTAAGAGTTTGTTTGGTAGCAATTAAAATTGAAAATATAACTGTTATTGGGTCCCACTCGTCTAATAAAAGTAAAAAATAATGGCTAGTTTTTCAATTTTAATTCGATTTTAATCTCTACCAAAGAAGCTCTAAGTGAGCGAATTGGGAAGAGTTTTGCTGATTTTTTCATTTTCTTGTTCTTTATGTTTTTTTCATCATCAAAACTCATTACTTCAAATCAGGTTTTTAGTAAACAACACTAACTATACACCATCCCAACAACCTCATCAAAATCGTTGTTGATTTGCCATAGCCACCAACAATTCGCGACGCTGCGATCCCGCACCACCAAAAAAATCGCCATCGCAACACCAGTACACCACCACCACCACAACAAAAAACCGGACGCCTGCGCCACCACAACCACCAAACGTAGCTGTGTCGAAGAAAGAGAAGAGAAAGAAGGCAGATCGAAAACACAAACCCTAATTACTCAGCATCTTCGCCGTTCTCAACCATCAACATCGCGATTTTGGGATCAATTTCACCAGCAATCTCTTTCCAGTGGGCGGCGCTGCTATCACCGCCACATACATCATCACGATTTTTTTACGTCGCTTGCCGGAGAGTCTCTTCTAGGGGGCAGCTCTGCTACCACCGTCACAGACATCCACTGCTCCACCGAGTAGCAGCACAAGTCATGGGAGAAGAAATTGGGCAAGCCGACGGTTTCGAGAAGATAGAGAGATAATAGAATAGAAATGAATTAGGGTTTAATTTATAATATTTAAATAGGAATTATTAATTATTAATTAAAACCTGATTTCTGTATTATTAAATTTGATTCTTGATTTATGAAAATGGAAATTTAAAACCTATTCTACTTGTAATTTCCTCAAGAAAAAATCTTAACTACCAAACTTTATGATTGCAATTTCAAAAATATCAAACTTCTAGAATTCTTTCAAAAATTAGGTCCAAAAAAAATATTGCGCCTGATTGGGCTCTATTTTATTCAAAATGCATTTTTTTTCTTTTCTTTTTAATCACACATTTCTAAATAAAATAATATTACACGCAAAATCAAAATATTTCCTTCTTTTTTTAACCACGTATTTTTCAAGAAATCACTATTTCAAAAAATATTTTTTTTCCCAAAATTTGCTTATAATGGAGCCCAAGGCAATTCTTTCCTGAAATTATAAATGTTTGGAGTTAAATAATATAATAATGTGATTTATAGAGGATCTATAAAAGATAATTGTGTTGGAAAATAATGAGATGATTATTATTATGATATATAGATAATTTTTATCTAGTCTAAAAGATCTATTTCATTATAATTGTAACTCTAATTTTGAACCCAATAAATATGGGGTCTTAGTTCTCAACAAAACACACTTGAATTTTGACTCTTTATTTGTTCTCTCTATTTTTTTTATTCCTTTTATTTCATAACACGTTATTAGCACGAACGCTTTTAATTAATTACAAAAAATAAGTGATCAAAGCTTTCTACATCAAACTTTCTACTTAATTTCACATTATGATTTTTTTTTTTTTTATTACAGGTCTTTGCACCGAAATTCATAGTTCTGCACTCAATTAGAATATTCAATGTCTTGTACTCAAATTTGAAAACCCCCTATATCTATAGTTTACTTGAATATTATAACGGAATTTGCATGTATGTCTTGTAACATAATAATTTATTTATCCAATTAAAATTCAGTTGAATGTGGTTTGTCTAGAAACATTAA